AAGGGAAGGGAAGGGAAGGGAAGGGAAGGGAAGGGAAGGGAAGGGAAGGGAAGGGAAGGGAAATTAACTGCAGAGATGTTTCTGTTTATTTTGAGTGACTGATGAGCTGTAGCAGAGTGCTCAATATGTAATTTTACAAAAATTTACAATTTAATGCCTGATTTTATTTTATGTGAGCTCAGTGATCTTCCTAGACAAATTTGAAATACACGTGGTTAAATGAAATAAGTATTCCATCCTATTTTTTCTGCAGTGTCCCACAGGTAGCAGGAAACATTTCATAACCTCCTACTTGCTGAGGGCCACCGGGGCAGGCTCTTTTCAAACTCGATCCCTGTTCCTTGCTATCAGCTAAAGCATCTCAAAGGGTACAGAAAGCCTGCAGAGCATTTTGCTTTAGGAAAAGAGAACAAAGGGGTGTATTTTTCCTTGTATTAGGAGAAAACACACCTAATCATGCTTGTTTTGCTTGASGTAACTCAATTTCTGGTTGTGCGGTGACAGTCTCCTATTCAGTGCCCGAAGCGTGTAGCTAAAGTTGGTTCTGAATCAAACCCAAATCCCAAGACCCTTGGTCTTTCTGGGGCTGGCAAAGCCTAATATCAACATAAAAAAAAATTCCACAAGTCCTAATAATGGGCATAAAGGCGAAGCTGAATTTGGGAAGAGATGAAATTGGATCTGAAGTTTCAGAGAAGGTGAGACAGGTAAGAGGGACAACATGAGCCCACAGTAATTCTTACTGCTATTTATTCCCGCCATGTACTCTCGCAGCAGGGTGGATTAATTAGTGCAGAAGCCCTGTCTCTGCAGGCTCTCTCCATGCTGGCACACTGACCSCACCTCAGGCGGGGCAGGGAATCCCTGGACTCAGCTTGGCCCARGTGCCAGCAGAGGAAGGAAGGGAAGAGCAGGGAAGGGCAGTACCTCCCAGGTTCTGCCAGGAGGCCATGGCAGTGCCTGTGGACTCACCGGCTGGGCGAGGGACTGCGCAGGTAATGGGCCTGCACAGCCTTCACATCCGGGCCCTCCTCCTCCTCTTCCTCGGGCACTGCCGGCTCGCTGTCTGAATCTCTGCTGCTGGCCATGGCGGCTGCCAGGGAATCCACTGTAAGGGGAACAGGGCAGGAGGAAGAGTCATTACCCAGGTCTGCATGGGAGGCCATTCCCCAGCTGTGGGGCATAAGTGGCAGGGAGGTGCAGCAGAAGGGGCTCCCACATTTTGCTCCTGTGAGGAGCCCTTTCCACAAGAGCTACGTTGGCTCCTCTAGCAGGGCACCTGCCATTCCCAGGGCCTCATCCAGCTCCCTGGCTGCTGGCCAGCGAGTGCCAATGCTCTTTTGCCTGTGAGTAAGGTGCAGGAAGGCCAGGAAGGAAGGGGTGGCAGGGCAGAAACTCTATACTCCCCTGACYGCGTGTGGTGGCTGGAAGGAGCTATACACAGCCAAAGCCGGGCTGRAAGGAGGGTTGGGGCAAGAAACATGAGACCTTGCCTCCCCAAAATGAAACACTCCTAAAGCTGAAAACCGAAATRCTATAAGGCTTGGGACTTTGTCCTTGTAATCCTTTGTGTGGAATCTGCTGCTCTCACCCTGGGCATGGGAGAGCGAGGGGGCCATCGCCCAGTTAGGAGCATGGAAACAGAGTAACTGACATTTCCCCTGGACCAGGCAGAGGGACTCGCCTCAGTGCCACAAGAGGCGGTGGCAGTTCCCAGGGCCCCGGCAGCCAGGCTCAGGCTGGAGGACTGTAGCCATGTGGTCCCTCACAGGGCAGAGAGCAGGGACGCTGGGGAGCAAGGAAAGGGAACTTACCCCTGTGCCTGGACGGCTCCACTGGGGGTTCCTGCTGGAGGCACAGCAAAGGAGTCCACAGAAGACAGCAAGGAGTGGTACTGGGGGGGAAAGCAATCAGCTGCCCCCCTCTTGCTCTCTCTTCAGCTTCTTCATCGAGGGGCAGGACAACTGTTGGCACCAAACCTTTATCAGCTTTCTAAATATAGCTGTCCTGACACTGGCTGCTGGATTGCACGGGGAAGGAATTCAATGCCTCACAGACAGCAGCTGGTCAAGCACTTAACTCCTTCCSTGCTGTGGGCTGGATCCTCTGACATTTCTCAGTTACAGCAAAGAGTCCAGAGCCAGTGAGGCTGGACCTCTGCCTGCAGAGAGCCTCCAGGCAAGGGGGATCCCACCAGGCACAAACTGAAATGCTGCTATGACCTCTGATATCCTGGGAAATGCAGTGCAGGATGAAACACTCCAACCTGAGGGAACGTAAGGTACCTATCAACTACCTAGACTTCTGTAATGACTTTGGCATGGTCCTACACAACACTCTTACCTCTCATATGGAGAGAGATGGATTTTATTTGATGGATAAACAAGTGGCTGATGGGATCCAGTTACAGTCAATGGCTCAGCATCCAAATGGGGATTGTCACCAAGTGGTGTCCCTCAGGGTCCTGTACTGGGCCCAGTAGTGTTCAATATCTTTAGAAATGACACAGTGAGACTGAGTCACACTCAGGAATTCTGCCAATGACACTAGTCTGAGTGTTGCATTGGATTCAGTAGGGGTAGGGATGCCACATAGAAAGTGGAGTGGGCCCATGTGAACTTCATGAAATTCAGCATGGCCAAGTGCAAGGTCCTACATCGGGGTCAGGGCAATCCTCAGTATCACTACAGGCTGGGGATGAATGGGTTCAGAACAGTGTGGAGGAGAGGGACTTGGGAGTACTGGTGGATGAACATCTGGGTGTGAGCCAGCTGCACGYGCAGTCCATAAAGCCAACCRTATGCTGGGCTGCATCAGAAGTTTGACCAGCAGGTCAGGGGAGGTGATTGTTCCACTCTGCTCCCGTGAAACCCCACCTGGAGTATGGCATTCAGCTCTGGAGACCTAGCACAAAACACAAACCCCTTGGAGCAGGTCCAGAGAAGGGCCAAAAATGATCAGAAGGCTGGAACATTTKTATGGAAGCGTCTGAGAGGCTTGGGTCTGTTAATCGTGGAGAAGGCTCTAGGGAGATATTATTGCAGCCTTTCAGTAATTTAAGGGCATCTTAGAAGGAGTTTTTACCGGGGTCTCTAGTGATGGGACAAAGGGCAATGAATTTAMACTAAGAGGGTAGATTTAGATTAAATAAAAGGAAGAACTTCTTTACTATGAGGATGGTGAAGCCATCCAGATTGCCCAGAGAAGTTGTGGATGYCCCATCACTCAAGTGTCCAAGGCCAGYTTGAGTGGGGTTTTCAGCAACCTGGTCTGGTGAAAAATGTTCCTGCTTGAGGCAAGGAAATTGAACTAAATGATCTTTAAAGGTCCCTTAGGACCCAAATGATTCTGTGGTTCTGTGGTTGCATGATGTAAGCTGTTTTTTGTTCTTGGAAGAGCTAGGACTAAGCTGCACTGTCTTCTATGATGTCATTCCAAACAGGAAACTTCTAGTTCCCATCTCTTGACTCCCCAGCAAAGCTCATGGACCAGGCCGGCCCGGGCCAGAACCAGATGAATGTCTGAGTGCTGTTCATCTGTACTGGCTGCTCCAGTTGTGAGTCATGCAAAACATCCCACTATTGATTCCCGTTGCAAACAAACAAGCAAAAAAGAAAGGAAGTGGAAAAGGAAACTCACCTATCTCATACCACAGAAACCTTTGGTGCTGCATCATAGTGGGCAGGGCCTGCACAACCCTCTCCTTCTTGCTTGAATTCTGCATCCCAACTTGGGAATGGAAGCTGTGTCTGTAGGGATGCCATGTCATGGCAGGGAAGAGCTGTAACACAGCCACTCAAGTCTTGGTGTGYTCACAGCCCAGACTTGTGTCAATCCAGGTACAGGGGTGAGCAAGTAGGGAAAAGAGAAAGTGGTATATTSAATCTTGTGTGTCACAGCAAGAGGAGAAAGGGATGGCTGATTACTGGCTTGAAGAGATCCTAACAGTTYCATGCACAAAACCCGGATGAATTGTGTGGATCCTGCTCATGCCGGATCATGACAAGGCAATTTCTAGCTGCTTCTGCAATGCAGTGACACRTGTTCTTGTTAATTACTGCTAATTGTGGTAAGAAGTGATCTAAAGATGTTTGCTTATAGACTGTCTTATCCTGGAGAACRGAGCTTTCAAAGGACCTAAATGTTGGAGTGCATATTCCATTGGTATCCAATAAGAACAGATGCTTTTAAGTCACTGAAGTACTWCTGAAAATCCTATTTGTGAATCCCTAGAATGCAAGTGCAGCAGAGGATGGTGAAGGCCCTGCCCTGCCCTTTGCAACCCCTCAGATGTAGAGATGCTGAGAGCATCCCGTAGGTTGCACACTTGTGGAGAACACTCAGCGCAGGCAGACTGGCAGCTCCTCCTCATTGCTGGCTACAAGTTGTTGGGGTTTGGGATYAAGGTAGCCATACAGAGCAGAGGCAAAGATGACAGAAATCTTTGCTAATCACAGTTTGCATGTGCAAACTTAGCAAAAAGAGCTGTGAGTGTTGGGCATCTGTCACTGTGATTAATGTATTCATTCATCGATGAAGCTGAACTGCACATGGCCAGGTGCTGTCCTCTTAGGTGGGATCTTGATGTAAGGTTCCTCTTTCTCTTAACTGGCAGGAGTTACAAAGATTTATAGTGTTAGCACCATACTACCTATTCACATTTCTCATTGGCTTTTATGSACAAACCTTATCAGAGCGTGCATTTTTGGCGACACAATGAAGTCACCCCTGGTTTCATATTAAAGCTTTTCATGTTAATGACTAATAACATCCCCTAAAAATCCTACATATCAGCAAAAAGATTCCCCAGAGCTGCAGCCATCAGCAAAAAAAAAAAAAGACCTCAAGGGTTTGCATTGCCYACAGGTGAGGGGTGAAGAAGCTGATATGCAAAGTTTTGGCAGTGTTGCCAGTACCTATGGCAGCTCCTTTAGCTGTGGTGCCATTGCTTGTGAGTTTTAGCAGCTTATGCTAGACAGGGAAAGAAAATCAAGCCAGAAACAAATACAAAATCACTTAAAATTGCCCACATTGCTCCTGAGACCCCAATGAGAACTGTCRGGGAAAAATGACAGGATAAAAGTGCCTCAACACCTTTTCCAATCTAGGCCTAAATAACTAACAAAACCAATAAATATAGAGCATCTRAACAAGAATCTTAATATCAGCTATATATAAGTGTCAGGTGTTGAGGCATATGCTCTTCATGTTACCTAGGACACCAGTCTTAGCCAAGTGTTCAAAACAACAAAATATAACCCATCCCAGTGCCAACGTATTTACTTGTGATGGAATGGAGTGGCTGATAGAGGCAGGGTAAAAATCTTCCCACCAGTGAATCACTTCCACACCAACATGAGATGAAGCAGTCCCTGGGACCATTCACTCTACCGTATTTCTCTATCTGCCTGGCTGCACAAAAGATAAGAGCTATCGCGGCTGCATCGGTTGTGAAACCACAAATTCTTGGAATGGAAGACAATTATTAATGCCTAAGAACTACTATTAATTTAGATTTCTCTCTTATCCCAACTGATTGTGATTGCTGATTTTTATGAGACTGATAGAACTTCCCATCTTTAAGATTACCATCTGTCCATCAAATTTAACTGGTCAAGTGGGTTTTGAAGTTACTGGGAAGAAGAGAGGAAAGACAGGTTGTATAAATGATCTTGTGAAGAAAGCAGTAAGTTGACCAAGTTGGTTATAGTCTCTGCACTTTACTAACTTCCTTTGGTGGAACTTTTTTTGTGAAGAACTGAGAATTAACACAGAAAGTGTGGGCAGATGGTGTACAGTGATAGCATTTCTGCTATCTACCATTTCTGCCACTACCTCTGTTCATCAGACTCAAAATATTAACTGGGAACAAAATCAAGTCTGGAAGCTAGAGTAAAGATCCTACACGTCTCTCCCTGGAGGATGTGGGATAAAGTCACAAAGATCTTAAAGCCTTGAAAGGATGCAAACCTTGAATAAACTCACCCTTGTGAGGAACCTCATCCATGTGGGCTCCAAAGAAAAGGAAGACTACTGACCTTGCTCCAGCTTTGTTTACATCTTAAGTAATTTACAGTTAACATTTTGAGGTTAGTTAACAAGCTGTTTTTGGAAAATGTCTCTCCTTCTCTTTGCAGGGTCCTTGCCATCTCCTAATGCCTGCAGCCAGTCAAAGCTGAGACAAAGAAGACAGGATGATTTTTTTCTACTGGCTGTCCTCATTTGGAAGATTTCCAAAGAATAAAATTTTTGTACCCTTATGTGCTTATGTGCCTTGCGCTAACAGTTGTAAGAGAACTGAGATTGTGCATCAAGCACAGATAAATGGTCCTTTCTGTCAGAGGGATTGGATTTCCAGTCATTCCAAGTTTCATTGTCTTGGAGGTATTTTGAACAACTGCCACATAGACCAAAACGCAAATCTTCAGGCTTTTGGCAGATTTACCACACAAGTATGAGGACAGCACAAGAGCAAGATACAGATGTGCTTTACTGGGCTAAACACAGATATTCTAGTGTAGACAACCACTTTTGAAGAAGCTTCCTTCAAAAATCACAACAAAATTAATCAATAATATACTGCATTGTATGACTATTTAATCTGAAAATGGTGTCTAAGAACATGATGTCCCCATCTAAGATGCCTGAAGTATCATTCACACCCTAAGCATGACTTTGTCCCTCAAATAGCTAGAAATAGAGCATAGATGACTATCCCACATGGAAACATCTCTTGCTGCCCGGTGGCAGTGAAGAGTTTAGAAGACACACTGTCTTCAGTTAAATGTTTGCTTTGGCTGCCATCAGTCCCCCTTTTACTCTYCAGTCAATTATAGCAGCAGTTATTTGTGCCTTCCATGTCCAGAACACATGAGCAGTGCTGGCCTTGCAGTGCCTGTGCCTCAACAGACATGTCACCAGCATGCTGCAAGCCATGGGCTGGGTTATCCAACAGCCTTTTGCAGCAGAGAGGGAGAAGTGCCTTTGGTACCTGTGGCTGTTGTGCAAACCACAACCACACACTGGCAGTGAACAGTAGGCTTAAGAGAGTAAGAACTTGGTTGAGATGCATCTCACTTATATTTAGACAATCCATTAGTCATCAAATTCCCATAAATTACATATTCTTATGAATATTTAAAGTAAATGGAATTAGGCCCCTCAGTTCCTTAAAGCCTGGTTGTGGGCTGCTGTCTTAATACCTTTTTAACTCTGTTCCTTAATAAGTATTGGAGAAAATTGAGGCTTATCCTCCCCTGGTTCCCTGTCATCACATGCATGATCTCGGTTGTACTGCACACTCGGCTCCCAGCCCCACYGCACCCTTCCCTTGTTTCATGCACCTGCGCATTGGGGGAAAYTGGGAAAGGCCATTTAATTGTGGGGGAAAGTTCACAACTGGGGAAGGAGTTCATGAGTTTACAGAGAGCAGCAAGTGATGTCAAAGCCTACTGGTGATKTGGCTTGTCATTCTGGCTGGGAGGGGAGTGGCAAGCTGCGGCGCAAGCACCTTAAAAGAGGCTGAGAAGTGAACCTGTCCTGCCACTGCAAAGCAGCCTTTCAGCAAAAACCAATTACCTACCGAGCCACCTGGAGATTACAAGGAAGAGCACCTTGAGGTGAAACAAAGGAGTGATGAGGGGGACGGCAATGAAARGATTTGGGCTGTTCATTTTCAGCGCAAGTGAGTACTAATTTGGTTATGTCCTCAAGGGTTGGGTGTAAGTAAACAGCACTACAAAGCACAAGGACTCGAGTGCTTCGTGTGTCCACTTTTTTTTGTTTAGGGAAGGTTCCTCTGTGTTCATGGCCAGGAAAGTGTGTGTACCATCTCTGTGCTGMACGTCCAGACACAGAGCCATCTCCTAGAGCTGCAAGGCAGTGTTAGGAGTGGGGGGAAAAATGCTATTCTTCATGAAGCTGGAAAATATTTTTTTAAAAAACAGTTTTATGGGTTTCTGTTAAATACAGTATTTATCTCTGAAGAAGGAACTTCCTCCTCTGGAAGTCTCAATTCYACTGTTTTTTATCCTGTCTCATCTKCTCATATCAATGCCTTATTCCATGCTTCAGACCAAGCTACACACATAGGAATTGCTTGGGTTTTTTTCAGTGAAATTCCTGAAAACATAACTTTAACAAAAAGACCCACAAAAAGGAAATTCACAAAGTTAAAAGTAATCAGAAAAAGTGTATGGGCTTCATACRCAACTAATGTGACTTGGGCCATAGTTTGATCATTATGCAAATTGTGCAATGCCATTGGTTTTCACTCTTGTTTTTCATTATTCTCACTTTTTATGCTGTGCAAATTAAGTATGGGGAACATTTCAGAGCAGAAATGTGTATGTAGGATGAAGCTCTTTTTTTTGCTTGATCAGAATCTCATTTTTTTCAGCAAACAATATATTTCCTCTAATTGTATTAATTGCCTTTCAGTCTGTTAACACTAGTAATGAAAGCGAAAGCAGAAATGTGACTTCAATTTTCTTCCTCCTTTGTACAAGTACAAATCTCTAAGTTGAGCAAAGGGAGATAAAACCTTTCTCAATTTCTTAAAATGCTATAAACATGATAACATACAGAACAGTAATCCTAGGACTTAAATCTAGGTGACATTGTCTCTCTAGTAGTCTGTAGGTTATTTGTACTCCCTCCTTTTCTGGAATTCTTTCAGAATTGGATTCTCCTCCCTTCAGCCATATTTTGAATAGATTCTGTTTTGCCTCTGGAAAAAAAACCCCAACCTTTGAAGAATAAACCACAATTTTTAAACATGCTAACAATGAAGTGAAACATGGTGAGAAGTAGGAAGAAATCAGCCTGAGTGAGTAACATCTCAGAATGAAACCTTGCAGCTACCCTGAGAAAGGGAAGCTTTTTCTGGGACGCAGAAAGGTATGTGGGTGACAAACGGAAGAGCACCAAAAGCAGTGGGACATGAGGGTGACAGCAACAGATTAATAAGTGTGTTACAGGCTGTGCCTCTCACAYGCAGTGTCTGGTTCATCTGCTCCCCAACTCTGCACCAAAAACATGTTTGGAAGAAAAGAAAGACCTCATTTATTGGAGGATTTGACTCATCTGATTGGAAAAAGGAAAAGAAGTCTTAGGGTTGGGTAGTCCCTTCTTCCTCAGGGCATTAAAGACCTGTCAGTGAACCCTAGCCCAGTAGAACCAGTTTCTGAGTGACAAAAAGATCAGGAAATGGGTTTTGTTCCATCTCCTAATACACACATTGATGCTTTTCACTCTAAGTGCAAGAAAGCATCTCTATCCAGTCACAAYAAGCAAGGAGAAAGCTTTCACAGGTGTCTCATATGGGAGGGCATATGGAAACAGCAATGAGAAAGAGCCCCAGGGCTATGCAAACATGGGCCTCGCCCTGGGTGCTCCAGAGCAGGGTAAGATCTGGGAGTGGCTGCAATAAAAGCATGTTAGAAATACTTTGCCCTGGTTTCCTTCTCRTAACTGTCAGCAGTTGTAAATGAAATAATTCCTGAGAGAACAGAAGCCACCCCTGCCATGTCACAGAGGAAGAGGTGRAAGCACACCTGACTAATGAACTGTTTGAGCCCACAGAACAACTCTGTCATGGGGCAGGGCATGCAAACAGATGAGAATTTAGGCTAAAAGCAGATCCCTGTGCCAACTGTCCCATGGCACCCTGTGTAATTACCTGAACTGTTGCCACAGGTTCTTAGTGCAGTAACAACATGATCTTTTGGGTCCCTATGGTACTATTTTCTAAGGGACACTGTTGTTCAACTGCTTGTCAAGGATCTGGCAGTGCTCAACTTGCCAACAGTTTTCTCTTACTGACCTTGTGCAAGTGGCTGTGGGCTTTTCCTGTCTAAAAGAAGTAGGTATTCACAAACAGTTTCCAACTCRAGGTGGAATCTATAGACATTCTTTCTCCTTTATACATTATACTTCCTTATAGATCTAACCGGGACAAAGATAYGGCAGAATGAGGACCCCAAGGTTGCTAGATGGCAGCTTTTCAGACAAATGCTCTCCAGGGAACAGTCACCCAACTTTCAGACACAAACCTTCACCACCACATGGAGCATGTCCTTCATGGGGAAAGCTTGCCTCCTCTTTGCCATAGGAGCACCTCTGAGCAGCACTTCCTTCCTTGCCATTTACAATTTTGCCAAATTATTCCATTTGGTGCCGTTAAAAAAAMAGAAACAAAACCAAAAGCTTAAACCAACAAACAGAAACACAGAACGCACACAAACTTAGRAGAAAGCAGGTGTTTTTAACCATAGATTCCCACAGGCATGAAGATCATCTATGGCCTTCTAGGGTGGACATAAATGTCCACCTCAGTTCTTAGAATAACAAAGACCTGCCCACCAGGCAATGCTCAGACATGATGAATTAAGAGCAAGTTAGAGGGAATTCAATGTAAAAGAAACACCTGCCCTGCGCACTTCCCCAGGGCACAGAGGCATTTCTGTTTTATTCAACTCGCAGCTATTCCTGTGCTCCAAAGGCAGGAGCTGGAGTTCTTGGAGAAAGGTGCCTACAAACTTACTCATTTTTTTAGAAACTACGAGCTATTCTTTCCCTGTTTCTTTCAATCACTCTTTGCTTTTCTAGGTTTTTCTGTTTTCAGGGATGAAAAACATGAACAGGTTTTGATTCCCTAGCACAAAACATCACTTTTCTATGGATTTGGATTGAGGCAAGTTATTTGACAGTTTTCCTCATCCTTGAAATTTGACAATATCAGTTTGTTAGTTTAGCCTGAATCCTTAAGACTGCTGATGCAGTTGTATCTGTTTATCTGTCTCCCTCTGTACATTTTGAAGTGTCAAAGGATGTCAGTCACACTGGAGGAGGGCTCAGGAAAAAATAAAGCAACTTTCTAAACTCCATGGCAGGGCAGTGTATGTCTAGGTGAGGAAGAGGGAAGCAAGGAATAGAAGGCAGAATTTAGCTCCAAGCCATTCTGTGCAGCAGCTTCCTAGAGCAAATCTGCCCCAGCACATGTGCCCTCTTGCTCTGTGGTGAATGTCCTGGATGACAGGGAATGTGGGGTTATTGTGGTAGGTAAGAAAGCCAAAGAGACTCACATGGAATCCAGGTATTGTTATTTTTGCTGAGTGAAGAATTTATTCTTTTCGTAGTTCTAGTGTCTGCTCATGCGCTCACTGTGGAAGCACCTGCCAGGCAAATCCAGGTGGCAAGAGGAAAAGACGCTACCCTGGGATGTAATTTTAGAACAAACTCAGTTGTTGACAGAGGAGACCTGGTTGTCTGGAAGAAAATCAATAGCAAGGTAAATTGAGCTGCATAAAGAAACAGATGAGAGGGCATCCAAGAGGGAGGTGGGAGATGGAAGCTGGACTGTGGATGGGAATGGATGTGAGAAAATTAAGATTTCTTCCAGACTTTTTTTAATCCCAGAATTGTCAAACAGAAATGCTGATTTTAGATTCAATTTATCCCAAACCTATTGCATGATATTAGGCAAGCACCCACCCTTCTTTTTCCTCTCTCTTGGTCTTACAATGTGTACTGAGGTTACATCACTGTATGTACTGTGGCGTTTACATCCATTTAAATACATTAAACACTCACATACTTTCTAAAAAGATGYGTGTTATACATATACATTTTTATATAGGCATCTCTTTGATTCTATATAAAGTTTTAAGTTGATGATAAKAGTACATGAAGAGATTCTTGAAGTGTCCTACAGCCATTTGGAATATTTGAAAGTAGAGAGACTTCTACACTTCTCCTTGACTTTGTGGTAATTAGTGAAAGGAGAAACAGCCTTTGGAGATCCCCTTGAGGAGCTGCCAAGGGCTTCTTCTCTGGAGATCCTTGCTGGGAGAGTTTGTGTAATCATAGGGCAATTTGACTGACGTGGGTCCTGACATGGATCTCAGACAAGTTGTCCTGCCCTCATGGAGAGGAAAGCTGAATAAGACCCAGCAAATGAAATCAGTTGTCTCCGATTTCAGGTAAGCTGTGAGAAGGGGATTMCAGATGGAAACAGAGATACTTTTGAATTTCTATGTTTTTCTYGGCTTTTTCTCAAACTGGTGCAGTTTAAGACCATCTTTTCCATGCTTAAGAGTAGGCTGATTCATTGAGTTGTGATGCAGACTAACACAAAAGAAACCAAGACTGATCCTGTTCCCTCCCTCTCTACCAGAGTGATGCTGTGACGAGGTATTTTGATGGACTGGTGCAGTATGGGGAGGGCTACGACCACCGTATCCAGTTCAGTGGCAATGTCGACAGCGGGGACATCAGCATCACCATCAGTGCTGTGACAATGGAGGATAACGGGACATACGCCTGCAGCGTCCGCCTCCGGAACGATCCCCCCCGCGAGACTGCGTTCCTGGACCTCTTCGTTCTCGGTAAGGTGACAGAGGCAATGCCACACCCCTGTTAGACACAGCAAGCCTTCCTCTAATGTCCACATTGGTTTAAACAACAGATTTTCTAATAGTAAAAAGAAGTTGTCATCCACACTTCCACCTCTGGTCTTTTCCTACRCCTATGGAAGGACACTGGGAGGCAAAGAGCACACAACTTGCTCAGACACCCAGAGTTATATGGCTCACTATAGGCCTCATTACAGGGCTTTCCTCATCTCTCCTGTGGCTTGTCATACTTCAGTTATCAAAGGATGGGTGACCTAACACTATTAGACATATCCTAAAAAGCATCTTGCAACTCCTTCTTGGTTTTCCCCAAAAAAGGAGAAACAAATTAGATACAAATTCACTCGAGTTGCTTTAAGAAGAMAGTGGCAGGTGCAAGACCAGCCTCTGTTTGCAAGAATAAAAACCACAGGTGCAGATGGCCTGAAACAAGAAATTACTTCTTATTAATACAATTACTTCCTTTTATCCTCCTTCAGTYGCACCATCAAAGCCTGAATGTAAGATTCTGGGAACACCACAATATGGACAGACAATCAATCTAACCTGCGTTTCTCACGAGGGCTCCCCAAAGCCAAAATATACCTGGGAAAGCTTCAACATACAAAACGAGCCCCGTGTGCTACCAAACCCAGAAGGTAAGGGGAATTCAAAGACATCAAGTCTATAAGCTCTCTGCAGATGAGGGCTGGAATTATTTTAAAATGCAAATGCAAAAACAGTCTTAAGGCTCTTTATAGGATGTTCTCTGAACAGGATTTTGAAAAGTTGTCCTTTGGATACAAGGTGTGCTCATGAGTAACTTAGCAGCAAGTAAAGGACTCTTACTTTTAGTAAGAATGGTCAGAAAGCTTTTAACTTCAGCTCTCCCCTGGTAAGAAAGCTGCATCGCTCTGGAAGCAGCCAGAAATAATTATTTCTCAGTTGCTGGGAGTAAGGGGGGCATAACATGAGAACAACATCAAGTTTTCTGACTGTCTTTACATCCCAGCTTGCTTGACAATGAGCAGATCTCTTTCTAAACTGAAGGAAACAAAAAATGGCCTTGGAAGCTTCCTTCCAGAGATGACGCCTCACTTAGAGGAAGGGGGTATGAGAAAGTTACGCCATTCCTGCATTGAGCATAAAAGAGACTTCTGGTTCTTTAAGGCTSACACCCAGGCCCAAATATTTTATTTGCTTTTATTTTATGTCAGAATCTGGAAAGGAAAAGAAAATTAATTTCCACAACAGAACYCCTCACAGAACTATTAATACAGGGTTTAACACTCTTTTAAGTGTAGCAGTGACAGAGGACTTAGATTTATTTCTTTTAACAACTTTGTTTTTTCCTGGCCTGTCCAGCTTCAGGAAGACTGAGTATCTRTATCTCCCTTCCTGGTTTAAGGGAAGTAAATGAAATATGATGAGACTCCAAAGGATATTCTACACTCAGGAGCCGACTCTTGCATAAAATATGCAAAGGACAAAGTACCACAGGGGCAGGAACTTTATTCATTTCTGGCCACTACGTGGTGCCAGCGCATCACACACAGCCCTGAGCACAGCGGGACTTGTCACAGCAGCAGCTTCTGCTGTCACCCTGTTCTTCCCTGGGACAGGAGTCTCTGCGGACCCGTTCCCACTTCATTTCTGCTTTCATCAGAGCACCCATAGCCAAGCAATGTGCCGACTGTCCCCTTGTGTCTCAGGCTGGCTGGATGCCCTCCTGCCACACAGACGATTTCGTTCTGTGCTAAGCAAGTCCCACTGCTTGCAAAATGTGCAGAACCCCCTCAGGAGACACTCCAAAGCAGATAGTACCTGACCCACATTTTTCCCCATTTCACTCACTCAGTTAGTTTTGATTTAATAGGAGGTTTAAATTCCAGTTTCAGACTGAGACTTTGAGAACTACAAACATCACACACACACAAAGGGGGGGGG